TATATATATATATATTATATATATATATGTATGTATGTATATGTATATATATATATATATATATATATATATATATATTATATATATATATATATTATATAGATAGAGAGAGACAGAGAGAGAGAGAGAGAGGAGAGAGAGAGAGAGAGAGAGAGAGAGAGAGAGAAGAGAGAGAGAGAGAGAGAGAGAGAGAGAGAGAGAGAGAGAGAGAGAGAGAGAGAGAGAGAGAGAGAGAGAGAGATACAGAGACAGACTGAGACGAAGGCAGAGACAAAGAGAATGAGAGAGACAGAGGCAGAGACAAACAGAGAGCTTACGTGTTCTTGACAAAAGGAATGGAATATTCCGTTATCAAAAATCAAGGTGAAGAAAATCAAGTGAAAAAAATCACGCAATCAGTTAGTAGATCTGCGGGTAATAAATAACGCAGATAGGGAAGCACCGGTCCAAAAAAAGACTGAAAATTCGGAAAAGAAAAAAATCATGCACTGTTACGATAAGATCCGAACCTTGACAGTTGACTAATAAAAAAATCATCCTGAGGCGCCATTTGCCATGACTAGTGTAGCAGAGAAAGAGAGAATTGGGAGCAAATATAAAAGTAATTTGTGCTTGTCAGTGTTTTAAAAGGGAAGAGAATTTACACTTTGAATCATGTTTCATTCGGTTAGAGTTCATTTGATTTTATTTGCAAAAAATAATTTAGAGAAAAGCAGGAAGTATTGTGGCGTTGAAAGCAAGTGTGAATGCAGAATGTGCTTGTTAATGTTTTGCGAGAAGAGTAGAATTGATGATGTTTCTGGATCATGGATACGTTTATGATATTCTGATGGGCATGCTGTTTGATGGTGTATAGCATTATGTCATTTAGAAAATAATGTGGATTCATGCTGCATATGATTATGTCATACGCCGAGTGATACACTAATTCCCTGTATCAAATATCTTATCATTCAGTATCTAGCGCTATAAAGCCTCGGTGTTTCCTGTGAAAGTCCTTCATGACATGACGTGAACCGACGCCCTCACTCACCCAGCGAGGCGACGCCGTCCTTCTGAGTGACAGGCGCCTCGGTCGTCCCATTGCTCTTCGGGAGTCCTTCGGGAAGGGGTCCTGCGAAAGGCACGGCGGCAGGAGCCTCGGCCGGGTCGCTCGCCGCGTCCTTCTCCTCGCTCTCCTCTGGCTGCGCAGGAAGCGCTTCGGCGGGGGCCTCTCCTTCTCCGGCGCCGGCGGGGTCCTCCGGGGTCTCGGCCGCGGCCTCGGGCTCTTCGACAGGGGCGTCAACGGGCGCCGCAGCAGGGGCTTCGGCCGGGGTCTCTTCTGGCGTCCCATTTGCAGTTTCGACTGGGGTCTCCTCAGGGGCCTCGGCTGCCGCCTCAGCAGGCGCTTCTTTGGGAACTTCGGCTGGCGTGTCAGCGGGAGTCTGGCCTGCGCTCTTGGCTGGAGCCTCAGCAGGGGACTGATCTGGGGCCTCGGCTGGAGCCACGGCGGGGGATTCCTTTGGGCTCTCGGCTGGGGTCTGAGCTGGAGCTTCGGCAGGCGTCTCGGCCGCGACCTTAGCGGGAGCCACGGCGTTGGTCTTCTCAAGGTGTTCCTCAGGGATCGCGCGCTCTCGTCTTGCCAAGGGAGCGTATCCCGCTGGAGACAGGGAGGCCGCGGTGAAGACACTTGATGGTCAGCGGCAGAATCAGCAGAGAGCAAAGCCGGGTTAAGGTCGCTAAATCGAGCATGCGGCGGAAGGAGTCAGCAGAGAGCAAACGGCAGCGGAGCAAGTTAGTATAACGGGAACGAAAACGAGACAACGTAATCAAACAGGAAAGCGCTGATACGACTGTTTCTCTCGCGGTTGTGCGAATTTGCATGCAGGGGCTGCGGATCACCGCCCAAAATCAGAGTTCTCTGACGCAGACCTTAGAGTCACGGAAGCACATTTTCATATAGAGCGGAAGTGAGACTGAAATAAAAAGGCAGATAGAGTAAAAGAGGCATATACAGCATATATGTCTATCTATTCCATCGATTCCATCTTCGGATCTGTTCCCTCACTTTCTTTAATACATATAGTTTAGTTTGTGCATTGTGGGTTTCTCTACCATTATATATATATAATATAATATATATATATATATTATATATATATATATATATATATATATATATATATAGTTTGTGCATTGTGGGTTTCTCTACCATATATATATATTATATATATATATATATATATATATATATATATATATATATATATATATATGGTAGAGAAACCCACAATGCACAAACTATATCTATTGAAGAAAGTGAGAGAACAGATCCGAAGATGAATCGATGGAATAGATAGACATATATGCTGTATATGCCTCTTTTACTCTATCTGCCTTTTTATTTCACTGTCACACACACACACACACACACACAGATATATATATATATATATTATATATTATATATATATATATATATATATAATATATATATATATATATATATATATATATATAT